CACCCAGCCTATGCATTACTTTTACAGTGACACTTATTAAGGATTCAAAAAGTAATCTTGCATATTAATAACAAAAGGAAATATAGAGTAAAAAAAATTTTTTTTCCTGTGACAGGATCTGGCTCTGTCACCCAGGCTGGAGTGTAGTGGCATGATCTCGGCTCACTACAGTCAGTAAAACAATCTTATGAGACATTTATATGATCTTCGGCAGAACACCACCAAGGTTTACTGAGGGATACAAAATAGGACGTTGTTCCTGGGTGAGAAGATTGTGTATTAGCCTGATTTCAGTTTCTTTTTTTCTTTTTCTTTTTTTTTTTTGAGACGGAGTCCTGCTCTGTTGCCCAGGCTGGAGTGGAGTGCAATGGCGAAATCACGGCTCACTGCAACCTCCAACTCCCGGCTTTAAGCAATAATTCTCTTGCATCAGCTTCCTGAGTAGCTAGATTACAGGCAACTGCCACAACAAAGCCTGGCTAATTCTTTTTTGTATTTTTAGTAGAGATGGGGTTTCTCCATGTTGGCCAGGCTGCTCTAGAATTCCTGATCTCAGGTGATCTGCCTGCCTCAGCTGCCTGCTGGGATTACAGGTGTGAGCCACCATGCCCATCCTTCAGTTTCTCCCAATTGCGTTATAGGTTTAATGCAACTATGATTTAAAAGAGTGTTTTTTTGTTTTGTTTTGTTTTGTTTTTTTCCTGAACAAACTTATTCTAATATTTGGGAAGGAAAAGGCAGGCAACAACAAAAAAGTTTTTTGTTTTACTATGTTTTTTAAGACAGGGTCTTCCTCTGTGACTCAGACTGGAGTGCAGTTGTGAAATCACAGCTCACTGCAGCCTCCAACCTCCTACCTTTAAGTGATCCTCTCATCTCAACTTCTTGAGCAGCTGGGACCACAGGTGTGCGCTACCACTATTTATTTATTTATTATTTTGGTAGAGATGGGATCTCATTATGTTGCCCAAGCTAAGACTCAAACTCTTGGGCTCTAGAGATCTTCATCCTCACCCTCCCAAAGTGCTGGTATTACAGGCATGAAGCCACTGTGCCCAGCCTAAAAATGTTTTTGAGGAAGGAGTAATATGTTTGAGATGGAAATACTCTTAGCCACTGAAACATGATAAAGCTACAATCACTAAACCTGTGTGCTGATGTAAGAAAAGACAGATCAGTGAAACAGAATTTACTGACTAGAGATGGATGCTTTTCTACAAAAATTCTTTTAAAACCAGGCCTAATTATCAATAGAGAAACAGATAAAAATTAAATAAATGGGGTCGGGACAACTGATTAATTACTTCATATAAAGATCAATTTAGATGCAGTGGCTCACGCCTGTAATCCCAGCACTTTGGGAGGCCGAGGCAAGATTGAAAACCATCCTGGCCAACATGGTGAAACCCTGTCTCTACTGAAAAATACAAATATTAGCTGGGCGTGGTAGCACGTGCCTGTAGTCCCAGCTACTCAGGAGGCTGAGGCAGGAGAATTGCTTAAACCCAGGAGGCAGAGGTTGCAGAGAGCTGAGATCGCACCACTGTACTCTAGCCTGGCACCTGGTGACACAACGAGACTCTGTTTCAAAAAAAAAAAAAAAAAATCAATTTAGTTGTTTATGCCATATACCAAAATGAATTCTCACTACATTAAAAAGTTTTACTGTGAAAAATCAAATCATTCAAATTATTTTTAAATTAAGAAATTTAAACATTTTTTTTTTCTGAGACAGTCTTGCTCTGTCGCTCAGGCTGGAGTGCGGTGGCATGATCTTGGCTCACTGCAACCTCTTCCAACTCCTGGGTTCAAGCAATTCTCCTGCCTCACCTCCTGAGTAGCTGGGACTGCAGGTGTGCACTACCACACCCAGTTAATTTTTGTGTTTTTAGTAGAGACTCTTTTTTCTTTTTTTGAGATGGATTCTCGCTCTTAGCCCAGGCTGGATTGCAGTGGCGCAATCTTGGCTCACTGCAACCTTCATCTCCCAGGTCCCCAGTTCAAGCAATTCTCCTACCTCAGCCTCCCAAGTAGCTGGGACTACAGGCACAAGCCACCATGCCCAGATAATTTTTGTATTTTTTAGTAGAGATGGGTTTCACCATGTTGGCCAGTCTGGTCTTGAACTCCTGACCTCGTGATCCACTTACCTTGGCCTCCCAAAGTGCTGGGATTACAGCCATAAGCCATGTGTCTGGCCAGTAGGTTCAACCTCTAGTGGTAATTGGGATTGTTGTGCTTAGAAGTAAAACAGAAAAGTGATAAAGAACAACACAATTAAGTTTGGTTACAAAAGTAAAATTATGTAAAAAATATTAATAAGCCAACAACAAACTTAGTTATAGCTCCTACAAGTATTCCCTTAGTGTGTTATATCTTAGCATGATGGAATTTCAGTTGGATTAAAAACTTTTTGTCAGACACAGTGGCTCACGCCTGTATCCCAGCACTTTGAGAGGCCAAGGCAAGTGGATACTTGAGCTTAGGAGTTTGAGAGCAGCCTGGGCAACATAGCAAAATCCCATGTCTACAAAAACAATACAAAAATTAGCCAGGTGTAGTGGTGTGTGCCTGTAGTCCCAGCTACTTGGGAGGCTGAGGCAAGAGAATCACTTGAGTCTGGGAGGTAGACACTGCAGTAAGCTATGATCGCACTCCAGTCTGGGTGACAGAGGGAGACCCTGTCTCAAAAAAAAAAAAAAAAAAAAAGAGGCAGGCAAGGTGGCTCATGCCTGTAATCCCAGTACTTTGGGAAGCTGAGGCCGGCGGATCATATGAGGTCAGGAGTTCGACACCAGCCTGGTTAACATGGTGAAATCTTGTCTCTCCAAAAATAAAAAATAATTGTAATCCCAGCTACTTGAGAAACTGAGGCGGGAGAATCACTTGAACCCGGGAAGGGGAGATTGCAGTGAGCTGAGATCGTGCCATTGCACTCCAGCCTAGGTGACAGAGCAAGACCCCATCTAAAAAAAAAAAAATTTTTTTCTTTTTATTACTTTCCTGTATTTTGTTGCTTTGATAATCATGAATATTCAATTAATTGAAAAAACAATTTATTGGCGGAAAAAAACTACAAATCTGACCAAGACAGAGAAATGAGGAAAGCAAGTAGGAATTAAGCAAAGAGGAAGAGAAAGCCTGAGAAAAACCCAAATCTCTCAAAAAAGACCATTTAAGGAAATACATAGGAAATCAAAGTTCAAGGCTGTCTTGCTTCATTTGGATTATGGAGCTGCTCTCCATCTGCTCCAAAATCAACACAGTGGTTAAGACGGCACAGTGGTTTACCAGAGTGGGGGCAGCAAGAGTGTCCATCCTAGCAGAGAAGAGTAATTTATCCCTGGCATTGTTTAGGATTGCCAGTGCAAGCGATTAGAAAAAACAAGTCCACCTGGCTGATTATTAGTTTCCTATGACATTTTCTACAGAAATTGTACCCCCTTACTGCCTGGGCCTGGGAGAAACTCCCCTCGCCCCACTGTTCTGGAGACAGAAAAACCTAGGCTCAAATTCCCCCGATCCCCTTTCTGAATAAAATAGAAGATCTATTAGTGCAACACATTCTATAATGAGGTTCGAAAATAGGTGAAGGCGAACACTATGGTCAATTCAATAGGCGAGGCCCTGTAGCTAGAAGTTAGGAGAGAAAGAAAGTCTGCAGCTCACCATTTCTTTTCTTTTTTGTTTTTTTTGAGACAGAGTCTCACTTTGTCACCCAGGCTGGAGTGCAGTAACATGATCTCAGCTCACTGCAGCCTGCGCCTCCTGGGTTCAAGTAATTCTCCTGCCTCAGCCTTTTGAGTAGCTGGGATTACAGGCATATGCAATCACGCCTGGCTAATTTTTGTATGTTTAGTAGACATGGGCTTTTGCCATGTTGACCAGGCTAGTCTCGAGCTCCTGACCTCAAGTCATCCACTCACCTTGGCCTCTCAAAGTGCTGGGATTACAGGCATGAGTCACCATGCCCAGCCCTCACATCCTTTTCAAATCCCATCTGCACCACTGGTGTGATGTAGGGCAGCTGTATAGGCTCTGTTAGCCTCAGTTTCCCTATCTTTAAACTGAAGAAAATAGCAGCTCCTCTTGCTTTTGTGGAGTCTTGGTGAGGGTTCACTAGGACAATACACATAAAGAGATTTGCCAGGGCCATGCCATGGTGCCTCAGTGAGTGGGGGCTGCTGCTCTTGGTTCTGCAGATATGTCTCTTAGTGTCAGGAAGGACAGAGTAGCAAGATCAGAGTGGAGGACAGGGAGAGCATGGCTGGAAGAACACAGGGGCTTGTCAGAAGAGTGGGGGCTGCAGGGGCTGGGGAGGAGTTAGGATGTTAAAGGATGGATGCAGGAGGAGAGGCAGATAGACAGGAGAGGGAAGAGGTGAGACGGGTCGGGAGGAGCTGAAGGACACTTCAGGAAGCAGAGTGGGAGAAGGAAGTGGGTAGATGGGAACCCAGATGATGGGGCTTGACCTAGAGACTACAGGGCTCCCAGGGTCAGCCACTGGGCACCTACTGGGGGTTCCTGGGTGAGCTCTTATTTGCTGGGGGTGGGATCCTGGACCCTCCCCCAGACTATGGGAGATGCAAGGTAAGGGGCCCACCCTGAGGCACCAGTGGGGACATAGACAAATGACAAAGAGCGGGTAGGCAACATCCTGGAGAGGTCATGGGGGAGAGGCCAGACTGGAGCCCCAGTTTGGAACAAGAATAGAGGATAATTGGAGGGTCTGGCAGGTGCTGAGGCCTGAGGAGTGGGGGAGGGGCTGGATCTGGACAGGACAGCAAGGGGGATGGTCAGGGAAAACAGATCAGAGGTGGAGATAATTAAGGGGAAGAGAAAAGGGGAGAGGTGGCAGAGGCCTGAGGAGGTGTCAGGGGCCAGAGAGAACTTAGGGACTGTCAGAGAAGTGGTGTCTGAGATGATGGGGATGGCATCACCAGTGGTCATAAAAGCCTCACTGCAGTGGGCAATGCAGCTGCCAGGGCAGCTGTACTCACCCTGGGTGATGGTGAGGTTGGTTCCCTCAATAGACTGCCATATCTTCGTCCCTGATGTGTTTATGTCCTCATCTGTCTCTATGTCCAGCTGGACTCGGCAGAAATACACAGACTGGTCCTCCTTCCGCAGGTTCGAGATCCTGAGGAAGCCACTCTCCTGACCCTCTCTCCAGCTCAGGAAGAGCCGATCTGAGTAATCCTTGTGAATTCGATGTGGCCTTGTGCGGTAGAAGACCTTCCCATGGAACTGGTCCCGTCTCCAGGATATTCTCATGTTCGGAGGTCTGGCTAACACCCAGGGGTGATAGAAGGAGAAGGGGATTTCCACAGAGCCACCCATGGGGGCTGAGAGGTATTTTGGTTGAGTGACCCCATAGGGGTACCCTGGACTGGATCCTGTGGAGCCACCTAGAGGAGGAAGGGAGGGAGTCAGAGAGAGAGACCTTGAAGCCACCCTGAGACGGGAAGAGGATGACCCCAGACCCTCCCGCACCTTCACCCACAGGCTGTCGTGTGACAGGTGGCTGGACTGACCTCTGGCCTGGGTCTCTCACTCTTTGGGCATGGGGGAGGCAGAAGGAGGAGGAGATGGGGGCACCCACCCCTGTGGGACTTGCCCTTGTTTGCTGGGGTGGGAGTCTGGCCCCTCACCCAGATGTGCCACCTTTGTCTCGGGTTTGCCCTTCCTGTGGTTCCGGGGCCGTCCTGGGCACTCACCAGCCTGCAGGAATACTGGCAGTAGCAGCAGGGGCAGCAGCAGGGACCGACCCATGGCCTTGCTCTCCTCCAGGGGACAGGAAGACCAGCAGAGCCGTTTAGGCAGGAGAGGGGCCATACGGAGGGGCCGCCTGGGGGTTGAGGTGAGTGAGGAGAGCCGGGGTCAGGCTCTTCGGAGGACTGTGGGGGCCGGGAGCCTTCCCCAAACCCATGCGCCTCCAGGGTGACCAGCACTTCCTTTATCCATCCGGCTTCTTTTCCCTTATTGCAAAAGGTCCTCCCTTGTGATCAGTGCCAAGTCACCCAGCCCAAAGGCCCTAGTCCTGGTCCTGCTGCTGAGGGGCCGGGCCTGGGCTTGGCTGGCTGGGCCCCTCCCACCTGGATCCCTGCAACCCCACCTCACTCAGCCTCACTTCTCATCCTCTCTGCCCAGGGCCAGTGCAGGCTCTTTCAGGGAAAGGAAGGCAGGCCTGAGTCTCTGCCCTGCTGTGCCCCACATTCAGTCCTTGGAGAGGAGGCCGGGGGGGCTGGTGGAGGTCACAGGTACTTAGTCCCTAGCCCAAGCACCAGAGCCCCAGCTGTCTTCTGTTCCTCTCCCTCCCTGGCAGGAGCTCCCATGCAGTCCCCAGGTACCACCACTGCCCCACTGGCCTCTTCCCACCCCAGGCCCGCTCCCTTGGTGCAAGGACCGTGACCTTGCACAAGGGGTGAGGGGGCTGATGATCCCCTACACAGAGACTGGGCCTTCTGGAGGTCACCTCTGGATCCCTAGACATGAGACTGGATCTGCAGGGTCCCCTCTGACCTCCCTGTCCTACACAGGAGGGAATGGGGCTTAGAGAAACCCTGCCCCAGGCCATATGACTTGCAGTGGTGGGTCCTGGACTAGAGCCCCCTCTACCAGGATGCCTGGGTCTGGCCACAGGGCAGAATCTCTGGGCCTCAACGTCTAAGTGCAGGAAGTCGGGGGTGGGGGAGCCCCAGGAGGCTGTCCCCTCATACAGCCCCTCAGGTCGTTCATCCATACACCTGAGCTCCTGGGTGATCCAGAAGCTTCCTTGGACACAGAAGGAAGTGAAGGCTCAGAGCAGCAGTGGGCCCTCCCTCCTGGCACAGTCCTGGGACTGTCTCTAATAGGGGATCTGCCAGCCTTTGCCCCGAGGTGGTGACTGGTGTGGGGAGCTTTGATGGCCCACAGGGCTCCCTCTGTAGGAGTCTCTGCCCACCCTCTCCAGGGTGAGGTGGCATCAGCAGAGGGGCCATGGGGGCAAGAAGGCAGGAAGTGGCCTCAGCCTTCTTGAGACAGAAGCAGGCAGGGACGGGCCTCCTTTCTCTTGGTCTCTTCCTGGTCCCCGTAGGTAGGCACTTCTGTGCTTCCCGGGGCCAGCCAGACCACCCCGCCCTCCCTCCCTTCACAGGCCTGAGGAAACAGGTTCCTCGTGCTCAGGGAACCCCCTCCATCTGAACTAGACCCTAAACACTTCATTCTCTGCTTCACAACATTCTGAGGTGACACATTATCTCCATTCAACCCACAGAGAAACTGAGGCATGAGATCTTTGGGCTGAACTGGTCCCAACTGGAAAGATGGGCTGAAGAGAGGACAAGGGACCCCCTGGTTGCCTGGGCAGGGCCTCGAGAGGGTGGCCTGCCCTGCCTGAGGACGTGGCTGGAAGGTCACCTGCTTACTGGACCATCCAAGGTGGGGGCCACATAAAACTTTTACACAACAGCCTCTGGGTAGCTTTGGAGGGCACAAGCTGCCCAGTGGCTTCAGGCCAGCCACCATGTGCAGTCTCCTTAGATGCAAGGTGCACATTGATGTCACTTTCTGGGCCCTGGACCCAGCTGAACCCCCATGGGAGATTCCTTTCTGTGTCAGGATTTCTGCTCTGGGATGGTGTGAGTTCTCCCTGGTTTGTTCATCCTCCCTCCTCAACAGCTGTGACAGGGCCTGGGACTGAGCCTGGGGCTGTGGCTCTCACAGACAGGGCTTCCAGGAGGAGGAGGGCCTGGAGGAGGGCATGATTCCAACATGGGCGGAGCCTGAATGCAGCACCTTAGCACAAGTGGCCACGGGAGAGGCATGGGAAGCCATGTGTGGGGAGCAGGGGCAGGGAGGGGGCCAGGACCCTGCACCACGTTTTGAGAACCATTGCTTAAATGTCCCCACATTACCCCAACAACCACCCTCCTTTCCTCACTGGCTGCATCCATCCCTGCCCTGCCCTGCCCGCGCTGTTCTTGCTTTCCTCCAATCCCAGTCGACATCCTGTAGGCTTTGTGGAGTCCACAAGCCAACTGTAAAATTCTTACAGTAATTCAGAAGACCTAGAATAGCCAAAAGGTCTTTACAAACGAAGAATGAAGGTGGAAGAGTGATAACACCTGACTTGAAGACTTGCTGTGAAGCTTCTGGAATTAGGCTGTACTGTCCTCAAGGTACGATCCTCACCCAGGCTGAAGTGCAGGGGCACAATCACCATCACTCAGCCTGGACCTCCTGGGCTCAAGTGATTTGCTGACCTCAGCCTCATGAGTAGTGGAGACCACAGCCCCACACCACCACACATGGCTTTTTTTTTTAATTATTATTTTTTTCTAGTGAGAGGCTCTCACTGTTGTCTAGGCTGGTCTCAAACTCCTGGGCTGAAGGGCTCCTCCTGCCTCATCCTCCCTCAGTGCTGAGATGACAGGTGTGAGGCACCGTCACACCCTCTGTATTGCTGATGTTCTGGCATCTCAGACCTCCAAGACCAGAGAGAGACACTGCCCCTGCCAGGGCCAGCCAGTTCTTGGAGCTAGTAAAAGACCCCTCTGGGAATGTGCCTTTCATATGCAAACCAACTAATCCAGGGCCCAGCCCTGAACCAGCTCTTCTAGCTGGCTCTCACCCTCCAGGAGACAATGTTTCTCTGCCTTCATCTCCCTGGGCCATGCATCAACCAGTGACGACAGCCCCTACTCCCCAGAGTTCTAACTAGCCAGTCCTAAACCTGCATACCCTGCCTTTTCCAGGGAAAGCATAACAAAGGGTCTCACCCAGGATTCCCCTTGGCTTGCTCTGCCCCTGAGGTTCCCTGGTGCTTTCCAGAGTGGCCCTCCATGGCTTACTGTGTCTCCCATTTCTGGGGATCTGTGAGGATACACTGCCTCCCTCATGACCCTCATTTCCATGTCTGCCCCGTCTGGCCATACTTGATGGAACGAAATGGTAGATGCTTTTTAATTATTTCTTTACTTAAAATTTGTTTTGTTTTGAGAGGAGTCTCACTCTCATGCCCAGGCTGCAGTGCAGTGGCGCCATCTCGGCTCACTGCAATCTCTGCCTCAGGGTCCAAGCGATTCTCCTGCCTCAGCGTCCTGAGTAGTTGGGACTACAGGCACCCGCCACTCCGCCTGACTAATTTTTATAGTTTTAGCAGAGACGAGGTTTCGCCATGTTGGCCAGGCTTGGTCAGGATCACCTGACTTCAGGTGATCCACCCGCCTAGGCCTCCCAAAATGCTGGGATTACAGCGCCCTGCCAGCAGGTGCATTTTGAAAGAGCTTGTAACTCTCCCAACAATCCCAGGAGGTAGGCAGAGTCTCTGTTATGATCCTCAATTTGCATAAGAAGAAATGGAGGCCCTGAGGGTGGTTCTGAGCCTGGCCTGAGGTCACATGGCCCTTAAACGTCCACTGTGGCATCGGGTCTGAGCCTGGGGCTTGGTGGCTGACCACTTCCTCATTCAGTGACATCAGCTGGCAGTCCTCTGTGACAACCACGCTTCCCTTTTCTGTGTTGTCTTCCTTCTGCACAGGGAGGTGCTTGAGGACTGGGCACTGGCTGGTGTAACTTGGGGTCCTTGTCACCCAGTGCCGTGTGCCAGGCAGTCAGTGCTGCCCCAATGTGCCTGGAGGGCGTGGAGGCATCTTCCAAGGGTGGGGATCAGGCAGCAATCATTTCAGTAGGGATGGGGTTTCGCCACATCAGCCAGGTTTTTTTGTTTCGTCTTTTCTTGAGACAGGGTCTCTCTCTGTCACCCAGGCTGGAGTACAGTGGTACAATCACAGCTCACTGCAGTCTCGATCGTACCCTGAGGGCTCAAGTGGTTCTCCAGCCTTGGCCTCAAAATGAGCTGGGATTACAGGCATGAGCCGCTGTGCCTGGCCCAATCATGCTTTTACAGTGAAGCTTATAGAAACCCAAAAGGCATGCAGAGGGCTTCAAGACAACAACACATGGAGCTTCCTAGAGAGTGGGGTGCCTGGAGAAGACACGGAAGCTCTGCACCCCTCCCCCCAGGCCTCCCTCTATGTATCTCTTACATCTGGCTGTTCATCTCTCTCCTTTGTAATATCCCATATTTTTATTTTTGAGACAAGGTCTTGCTATGTTGCCCAGGCTGGTCTCAAACTCCTGTGCTCAAGTGAACCTCCCCGCTTGCCCTTGCAAAGCACAGAGATTACAGGCATGAGCCATGTCTCCCAGCCCTATAATATCCTTTATAATAAAGGGGCACATGTGAGTAAAGGGTTTCCCTGAGTTCTGGGTGCCCCTCTAGAAAATTAATAGAACCCAAGGAGGGGATCATGGGAACCTCAATTTTTATAGCCCTGTGTCAGAAGCACAGCCACGACGTGAGCTTGCGACTGGCATCTGATGCGGGGGCAGTCTTGTGGAACTGAGCCCTCGCCCCGTGGGATCACAGGAAGCAGCCAACTTGTTGTAGTAGCCTTGGCCACTACACCATCTCTTACAGTGTTCCTGCCCCTGCCCACTCCTTCTTCTGTAAGGATTCCCTTTGGGCAGGCATGGTGGCTCACACCTGTAATCACGGCACTTTGGAAGACTGAGGCTGGAGGATCACTTGAGCCCAGAAGTTTGAGACCAGCCTGGACAACTTGGCAAAACTCCAGTATCACTAAAGAATACAAAAATTATCTGAGTGTGGGAGTGCATGCCTGTAGTCCCAACTACTTGGGAGGCTGAGGCAGGAGAATCGCTTGAACCCGGGAGGCGGAGGTTGCAGTGAGCCAAGATGATGTCACTGCACTCCAGCCTGGGTGAAAGTCTCCGTCTCAAAAAAATAATTTTAAAGAGATCAATTTGGGGATATTGACCCGTTAACAGCGAGCCTTAGCTGGGCACAGTAAGTGACTCATGCCTGTTATCCCAGCACCTTGGGAGGCCATGGCAGGGGGATCACTTGAGCCCATAGTTTGAGACCAGCCTGGATAACATAGTGAAACCTCATCTCTATCAAAAAAAAAAAAAAGAAAGAAAATTACAAAAATTAGCCAGGTATGGTGGCATATGCCTGTGGTCCCAGCTGCTTCAGAGGCTGAGGTGGGAGCATCACTTGAGCCCAGGAGGTTGAAGCTGCAGTGAGCCGAGATTCCACCACTGCACTTCAGCTTGGGTGACAGAGCAAGACTTTGTCTCAAAACACCACCACCACCACCACCACCACCACCAACAACAACAACAACAAAAAAAACAGTGAGCCTTGTGATGTATGAATGTGGTGTATCTCTCCCTTGACTTAGGCCCTGGCACTCAGGCCTTTCAGGCATGATCTGGCCTCGCCCCCACCGAGCAGTGTCAGCCATACTGCCTGGTATAGATATGAGGCTGCTCACAGAGCACCCTCATCAGACAGCTGTGCCTCCGCCCACCAGGAACACACTTGTCCAGGCCTGCCTGCTGCTCTCCTTCACCAAGAACCTCTCTTCTTCTCAGCCCTGGGCCCTTAGGTGGGTTAAGGTGCTGCTTTGCACCTCAGGCTCCACATCTGTCAAATGGACTTCCTGAGAATACCCACCTCCTGACTTCGTTTTAAGACAAAACTATCCAGGAAGAGTTACTTAGTCGTTGGGAGCCTCCTGGTTTACAATCTTCACATCACCGCAGGCCTCATCACCCTTATCATGTACCCGACGCTCAACATGAGCCATGTGGGCACCACACAGCCAGGGAGGGACCCCCAGGATTCAAACCCAGGTCCATTCAAAGCTGAAACCTTACATTGGGTCATGGGTGCTGGGGGCTTCTCCTGGACACCTGAGGCTGCTGGATAGGAGGCAGGTGCTGCTGCTGGGCTGTCTCAGCTCTTCCCCTGGAGCACATCAGCTCCCTCTGGCCTCAATTTCCACATATACCGAGCCAACAGCACCCTGGTCTCTGGGTCTGAGGCCCAACCACACACCACAGCACAGTGCACCACATACTCTCAGGGTGTCCTTCCTTTGACACTGTTGCTGGCTCTGACTGTTGAGGCTGGGCTGTGCGGAACAGGCTGGCTGTAGGGAGACTTTCTGGGTCCCAAGGTGTTTGGCTTTGAGTCCCACAGTGACCAGGCTAGGCTGCAGCCTCCTAAGCTTATGGAAACCGAGCTCAGGCCCAGGGACGATTCCTCCACTGCGATGGGCAAATGGCCCTGGCTGAGGTGAGGGGGGTCCCCTCAGAGCTCCCCCTTCATCTTAGAGAAACCCAGCTTTCTGGGGAACCCCCTCAGGCTTCCCCTGAGACCTTACAAGCCCCACTGTTTATACCCCTATCCCAGGTTCAGAGTGCTCTCTCCCCTCCCCCTGTCATCTTCCTCCTTAACCCTGACTTCCTGACCCTCCTCAGGGACCTCTGCAGCACCCCTTCCTCTCTTCCTTGAGCCCCAAGCCCTGGAGAAACTGCTGAGCTGCCTAGACCAGTGCTGAGGGCTTCTGGGAGGAGGAGGATGACCACCAGCTGAGGAAGGCAGGCCTGACCAGCTGAAACCACCCTCTTCCCAGCACAGGGAAGAGCTGGGGGCTGGATGGGGCTGGGTCCTGGCAAGGCCACTTCAGGGCCTGCCTGGGGCAGGGCATTGGGCTGTGTAGGGTGGTTCAGGTGGACACAGCCTCCAGGCAGGCCACCCCTGAGCCAGTCTCCAGTGCAGTCTTCAGGGAGGGGCAGGTGCCCTCCCTCCCCAGGAATACTCACCCCAGCTGGGGAAGCAGCCTCAGTCTGGCTCCAGAATGACACGTCCTGCCACCTAGGGCCTGCCATGTTCCTGGAGTCTTGCAGCCCACAGCCCTGTCACCCATGCTGTCTCATTCGGCAAAGGCCTGATCAGGCCCAGGCTGTGGGGTCCACCAGCAGAAGGGCCGGCTCTGGATGGAACATTTGTGGGGAGGCCCCCATGTCTGTGAAGGCCTCTGCCAGCCCTGAGATGAGCCGGGGGAAGTGACTGAGGGATTTCAAGTGAGTCCCCTACTCTCCACTCCCTGCCTCTGATGCCAGCTGTGGAAGGAGTAGATCCAAGGGCCCAGTCCAGGCCATAGCAGGGATTGTGTCCTGGACATCCTTTGACGGGTGCATCCCTGGCAGGGGGATGCCAGGTCAGACCACAGGGACTTCTCTCAGGCTGGAGCCCCAGGAACCCTTGCTGCTGTTCTAGGACATGGTGGGATTAGAGCAGGGGCCATCCTACTGGGAGCCCCCCCAATCCTATCTCCCTAACCATAGGTGTTGCTCAGGAAGCCCTCAGCCCTATGCCACCCTGGGAAGGCAGGGGAGATATCTAAGATTGTGACACTCTGCCCTCTCCCTGGGCCAACCCCAGCCCTGCATGGAGGCCCCAACCCACTCTGGTTCTCACCTGGCTTCTGCCTCCCTAATCTCTTCATCCCCTAAGAAAAGGCACAGCCGAGGCCCACATCAGAGGAACTGTTTTTCTGTCTTAGTTACAGGGGTTGGGGAAGTGTCACAGCAGGAAACAACTGGAATGGGGTTCTGTCACTCACACACATGCCTGTGCCCATACCCCCACACGTGCACACAGACCACATCCGCAGCAGGTAGGCCTGGCCAGGCACCTGTGGGACACTTATTGGAGGACCAAGAATAAAGTAAGGGGGTGCCACCCAGGAGGCCTGAGAGGGGGAAAGCCCAGCAGCCTCATGGTCTCTCTCATAGAACTCCTAAGCCTCCCTCCATGGCCCTGGGCCCCCGAGTGTCAGGGAAGAGAGTGAGGCCAGGACATGTGTGGGGCGGCCTCTCCCCTGCCTGAGCATAGAGTCCATTCTCAACGGAGACAAAGCTGCCACATGCAGGGAAGGCTGTGGAGGCCCAGGCTGCAGGGGCCTGGGACCGGTGTGCAGTGTGGGTGGGGATTGATCCCCACCAGGATGGTCCCCCATGGGGGTGAGCTGTGTCCAAAGTAGCTGGGCAGAAGCTGGTGTTTATAGTGGTGCAAGGGACATGGAGAGCATCCTGGGAGGCCTGGCTGGGTGCCTGCAGAAGAAAGGAGAGTTAAGTGATTCTGTACAGCTTGGGCCCAGCCCCAGTTCCCCTGTCCCCACCACCTTGTCCCCAAGGCAGTCACCCTCCTCACCCATGCTCGTGATCTCCATGCCTGGGGGCTGGTGTGTGGCGGCTGGAACCTAGGGACAGGCCTGGGAGAGAGCAAGGATGGTCAGAGCTCTGCAGGACATGTGGCCAGCCCAGTGTCAGAGGGACATGGACAGGGCCCGTTTCTTACCAGTGCTTCTGTCGGCACAGCAGGTGAAGAAGGTAGCCACAGCCAAAGAGGAGGACTCCTGAGACCCCCAAGATTCCAGCCAGGTCTGCCCGCAGAATAGGGGCAGAGAGCCCTGGACACAGAGACAAGAATCAAATGGGTGGCTGGTGCCCAAGCCCCTCCCTGCCCTCCTGGGTCCCTCACCCTGATCCCACCTGGGTCTGAGCTGGGTGGGAGGCTCCCACAGGCCTCCCAGGAGCCTTCGGGGAAGGACGCAAACTTGCAGCAGAAGGTGGTGTTGGCAGAGGGGCTGCTAGCCCCAGGCTCTTCCAAGACTAGAGAGATGCTGCTCTGGGTTTCCCAGCGGGCCTGGTGGGCAGGAGCCCACTGCCGAGTGCCAAGTTCTGGGTGCAACACAGCCAGCCTGGTCCCCCCGGCACCATCGGGCCCCCCCCAGCTCACAGTCACCAGGGAGATGGAGCCAGATCCCAGGAACCCACAATGGACAATGAAGGATGAGAGCTCAGTGGCCTCCATCTGAACTTGTACCCACACCTCCGGGGTCCCTGTAGAAAGGCAGCAGTCAGTGGGCTGTTGCCCCACATTACCCTCCCTGCAGTCCCTGCTCCTCTCTGGTGCCGGCACTCACCCTCAGTGACACATAGGGTCAGCAGCACCCAGGGCAGGGCCAGGGTCTGGCGCCCCATGGCTCCTTCCAGTCCAGGTTCTGGGGGCTGCAGGGCACCTGGGCCTCTGTTCTCATCACAGGAAGTCTTCATGTTGTCAGCAGCCAAACAGCCACTTCCTTCTCTCCTCTCACACCTTCCACAGAGGTGGTGAACACAAGGTGGCTGATTCCCTTCTTAAAGGGACAGTGAGGGCCCGCTTGGTCTCCTAGGCTGTGCTTCTGGGTGACAAGGCAAGGTGGCACAGGTGGGTGAGAACCCAGCCCAGGCTAGGCCTGGGGAGGCCATGGGAGGGGCAGACAAGCTGCCAGAAGTTAGAAGGACTCCCCTTTCCTAGACAGTGAGGGGTGCCCGGCTTCCCTACGAAAGGGCTCTGTCCCGCCCCTCACCCAGCTTGAGAATCTGGAAGGAGAAAGCCCCTGGGAGTGGGAAGCTAGAAGGAAGGACCTGAGAGCCAGCCCAGTGTGCGTGACCCACCACCAACCTGATGTGGGTCCCACACTTACACCTGCAGCCCAGGCCTTCCCCACAACCCTCAGGCTGGCTTGCCCACTTATACCTCCTGATCTACCCTAAACACACCCCACTCTGGGCTATGCCCCACACACTCTCTCTCATCAAAGGCAATGGCAACTGGCTTCTGGTTGCTGTGGCCCAAAGCACAGTCACCTGTGCCTCTTCCTTCACCTCCAACATGCCAGGAAATCCTGTTGGCCTCCCACCCTCACTAAAGGACCAGTTCTTCCCACCTCACCCCCGCCCCCTTCTGACTCTGGGCCTAATCTTCTCATGCCTAGAAGAGCCAGGAACAATGCAGAATTGGCCTGGCTGGTTTCAAACTGCAATGGCCAGTGGGACCCTTTCGAACCCAAGTCAGACAGGCCATTCCCTTCCTTGACTCACAGTCCATGACACCCAGAGCTGATGTCCCCTGCCTTCCCTTCCCTCCTATCTCACATTGCGTACCTGTGAGTTAAAAAGCAGCAAGATTTCAGCTGAGAGTTGGTTCAAAAAAAAAAAAAAAGCAAGATTTGGAAGTGACCAGGAGGAAACAAGCTGGCCCTTGCCGTGAGGTGTACACAGACAGGGAATGAGAGGCCAGCACTTGAGGAGGCCTAGATGGACAGATTGCTTGAGTCTGGGAGTTCAAGACCAGCCTGGGCAATGTGATGAGACCCCATCTCTTAAAAAAAAAAATTAGTCAGTCATGGTGGCTGGTGCTTGTAGTCTCAACTATTTGGAAGGCTGAGGTGGGAGGAGCGCTTAAGCCCAGGAGGTGGAGTTTGCAGTGAACCATGATTGCACTACTGAACTCCAGCCTGGGTGACAGAGAACCTGTCTCGATAAATAAATAAACGTTGCTCTGAATTGCTTCCCTGCTTATGTCACTTTGAGGTTGCAAACTGACCAGAATGCTGCTAGGCAGTGACAGGTGACCCTTTCTAGGGATCAGTTTGGTTTGTGTGCTGTAAGCCTGAATCCAGGGTCCAGTGAGAGTCCAGGGTACTGTCTTGAGGTTGATCTTGTCCACAGTGTGACAAGGCAAGATGGCACAGGTGGGTGAGAACACAGCTGTGAAGGGTGCCTGGCTTCCCTAAGGAAGGTGGTAAGGACTGAAAAGTCAGCCCTGCCCTAAGTCACCTCTCTGGGCCCTGGCTTGATCATGTCTGCTTAATCTTGTGGTGCTGGTGGCTCACAACTGTAATCCCAGCACTTCAGGAGGCTGAGGGGGGTGGATCACTTGAGCCCAGGAGTTTGAGACCAGCCTGGGCAACATAGTGAAACCCTGCCTCTACAAAAAAAAAACACTAGTTGGTGTGGTAGCTTTCGCCTGTAGTCCCAGTTACCTGGGAGGCTGAGGTGGAAGAATCACTTGAGCCTGGGAGGCCGAGGTTGCAGTGAGCCAAGATCACACCACTACACTTGAGTGTGGGCAAGAGTAAGACCCTATCTCAAAAATAATTAAAAAATTTAAAAATACAAAATAAAAATTCTGTGGTGTTGCCACAAACCAATTTGGTCTCTGGGGCAAACTGTGTCCCCTCATCCACATCCTGCAGCCCATAGTGGCCCTCATGGTGCCTATGCCCGCAGTCACCCATGGCTCCCAGCATTCTCGCCACCTTTTGCCCATCGCCCAGGCCCCTTGTACTGATCTGCACACCTGCCTCACACCTGCTTTTACTGCTTTCTCCACTACCGTCCCCCAGGCAAGGTGTGAGACTGGTGCAGAGCAGACTCACCTCAGGGTGGCCTGGCCAGCATAGCTGCAGAGCACCTAGGACATGTGAAGCTAATGCACATCCACCTCCTGAGTCCAGAAGACCCTTGCCTCCCACTGAAAGAAACCATAATATTTAACCTCAGAATAGGCTTCTTTGCCATATTTTGGGATGGCTGTTCAGGGGATCTTAGGCAGCTGTGGGCCTGCTATGTGGTCTTCAGTTGGGGAGATCCGCCTCTTCAGAGGAGACCATGGGGTAGACAGTGGATGCACACAGCCTTCCTCTGCAGTCCCTGTGTCTGGATCTAGAAAAGACAAACTGAGAGGCGGACCCCTTTAAGGGTCTGAAATACTTGCTTACCACAGGCTCCACAGAGCACCAGCTGTGAGATGTCACCTGCAGAACAAGACCTTTGCTAGCCAAGTCTCTCCTCTCCCTTTCCCTTAACCTGTCTTACTGTGCTCTGGGCTCCCATTATTTCTATAATTTCAAGATAGTTATAAAAGTGTCACCCATCTGGCTATTTCTTTTTTTATATATTTTGACTCTTGTGCATGTAATAAAAATTTTTAAGCCAGTTTTATCCTGTTAATGTGTGTTTTACTTTTGTTTCATAGACTCAGATTATCAAACCTTCAGGGAAAAACTTTAAACTTCCCTACATCACCTGCTGAAATCCTACTTTGGAAGAAAGATATAAAATCCCACCACCTCCAGGAAGCTGCCTCAGAGTACCCACTTCCTTCTGGAATAATCATCACAGGATTGCAGGTGGCCTCCCAACTGGGTTCTCAGCAACCCTGGGGCATTTTCACAGGCAGACACTGAGCGCTGGAGGAAGCATCGCTTTTATTCACCCAATAAGGGGAGCCCAGAACTTACTGAGGGATTTAAAAGCCATAGTACAAAGCTGACTACCCACCATTTTCAATATATTTTTCAATGTTTTAAATCACATTATCCCCTAAGCTCTCATTGTGTGAGATTCAAACAACATAGAACACCAAGTTCTCCTGTGGCCAGGTCCTTCCATTCCCTTCCCTATCTGAATTTTCATGAGGCTTGATCTTTAACATTATCATTTCTGGTTTTTGTTTATTGCTTAGGAAGGCTAAGATTATGAAAATATTTTTATGGCTTTGTTTTTATGCATAACTCTATAGTTTCTTAGTCCATGAACTTTACTTTGGAGGTGGTGTTAAAAGGCTGTGTAGCATCTTGGGTGGAGGGCCAGGAATCCCTAGACCATTTGCTGTTGGGCTCCTTCCCTACTGTTTGAAAATGCCACCTTGATCATAAATTCTTAAACATACGTCTATATCTGAATTCTCTTTCATAGTCTATCCATTGGGTTGCTTATTCTAGCTTCAGTATCACGAGGTCCTAACTAGAATGCTTTTGTGTTCTGATATACGTGAGGGCCCTGATTCTCAGAACTTTCTGAATATTCCTGAACATTCTCCAGAATGTGAACTGCAGAGCAGCAAGTAATTCCCAAGCTTGGCAATCTAAGCCCTGCATCCCACTTTCAGCCAGGAGGCAAGATGAGACAGGTTTCACAATGGCCATCTCCTGCTGGATGTTCCTTGGTGAATCTCTGCAACCCCAGGCCAAGTCCTGCTGTCATGTGAAACAGCCCCTGTGGTCAGTCTGTGGAATTAGGCCCTCATAGGTTTGAAATAGCATCACAGTTTCATAGCTCTGTTAAGAGCAACTTCCCAAAGCAGCAGGATTCAAACTGGGGCAACAGTGTCTGTTCCACAGAGTAATTAAGAGGATGAGGTCAGTGAGTGCAGGGGCAGCACTTAGGCCTGGCCTGGCTCATGCCCCAGTGCAGGCTGTGACCATCCTGTTACATGAAACATTCCTTGAGTCTGGTCCCTTCTCACCAGGACATCAGGATTAGCTTTCTTTATGGCTTGTATGGAAGATTCGATGACACAAGTTCATCTCTACAACACCTTCCCAGGCAGATCAACTGACGTCAATGTCCCCTCTTCAGGGGCGGCTGTCTCAGTCCTAGCACTGCTTCCACTGGAAGAGTCTGAGCTCCTCATCCTAGCCTTGGTTCTGGGCAGCAAACAGCTCAGCCCTGAGCAGCCTCTGTTCTTCTGTAGGCCCATGCGGCCCACTGCAGACAGGAACCCAGGCAGCTGATTCGGATGGCGGGGCCAAAACACAGGGTCCTGGAGGGCCTAGTCTCACCACAGAGAAAGATAAATGGCTACAAAAATCCAAAATATTTTTGATAGAGGACTAGAGGCCTCCTCCCTCCCCTCAATGCTTTGGACTTGACACAACCTTAGGGAAAAGGAAGGAAGCCAGAAGACTCAGGAGTTAAATTTTCTCACATGGGCAGAAAAAGAGCTTGAAATTATAGAAGTAAAATAAAGTTATATTTCTGCTCATCTGAGGTTGTAGAGTAAGACTTGTAACTGCTGCATTTATTTTTACATGTATGTTTTAAATGTTGGGAAAAGGGCCACTTTTCTTCCTCTGTAACTTTAATTATAGCTTATCCTTTATGAAGTAATACAGCTAATGTAAGGTGGCGTCTCATTGTATACTATGTGCTAAACCCATTCTCAGTGATGCATGTACATCAGCTCCATACTTAGCACTCACTTTATGTGGGAAATAAGTTGCCTGGGGTGAAAAGGCTAGACAGTGAAGCCAAAATTTAAACCCTGACAAAAATTTTCACTCCAGAACCCATAATATTCAGCATTGTACTAGGCTGCCTTCTCCCACACCTTGTTTAAAAAATTAAAATTGAACTACAAGATCGTGTCAGCAAACAGCAGCAGAAGCCAGGAGCTGAAGCCATGTCTCTCACCAGGTGAAGCTGCCTCGCTAAGTTTGATGTGACCTCAGGGACAGAGGCTACTCCACCTGCACCACCCAATCCCTTCACTGGGTCTACCTTACTGAATCAAATTAAGTATATTTTCCTCCAAGTTTCCCCAGGGTTCCGGGCTCCTTTGCACACTACGAGTCTTCTCTAAATGCCCTGGGTTTATTGATCCTTTGGTGAGTTTTCAACTCTTTTCATTATTTCTCTGCCCTGTCCTGACCACAAATCTTCAGTGCCTGTTTCTCCCTTCCATCCAAATCCCACACACACCTAGGGGTGAATTGGTGAATCTGCACTGATAACTTGTTTCGTAAATCCTTTCTAGGATCTCAGAATTTCATCCCATCACAAGAGAAGGCTCTAAAGACCTCAAGGAAAACCTCATGATGTCTATGTGTGAGAAGAAACCTTTTGCTCCTTCGCCACCACACCCCATCATCCAAGCACACATTCCTTTGTTTGTTTGTTTGTTTTGAGACAGAGTCTCACTCTGTTATCGAGGCTGGAATACAGTGGCGCAATCTCGGTTCACTGTAACCTCCGCCTCTCAGGTTCAAGCAATTCTCCTGCCTCACCCTCCCAAGTAGCTGGACTACAGGCATGCACCACCACGCTCAGCTAATTTTTGTATTTTTAGTAGAGACGGAATTTTACCATGTTGGCCAGGATAATCTTGATCTTCTGACCTCGTGATCCGCCTGCCTCAGCCTCCCAAAGTACTGGGATTACAGGTATGAGCCAGCCACTGCACCTGGCCTCACATTCCTCTGATCCCATAAAGCCCAGTCAGTGTCACCTGGAGTTACAAGGATGGGGTAACTTACCTAGTAACTGAAGACTCTCAGTAATCTGAAACAAACAAACAAACAAACAAACTTTTATAACTCAGGAGGTAACACCAACAAGTCACTTCTGGCAGAGCTCATGGCCACAGCGCAAGTTAAAAACGGCAAGGCCTTATTGAAAATAATCTTAAAACAATTATTCAACATTAACAGACAATGCCCAGCAGTGCCAGACTCTGAAAAGCACTGCTCTGCACTGCTTATCAGGCCAGGCAGAGGCCTCCCTGCCTGTGGCCTGAGCTGGTCTCAGCTCTGTCCAACTTGCCCTGGGCCCGGCCAGTGGGAGGTGCTGCTGAGAAGCCTGAGCCCTGGGCTGTCCCAGCCGGCAGGGGGCTCACTGGCACGAACTCTTCACAGCTGAGCCTGTCAGGGTGGGGGTGTGCACAAAAAATATCCACTGTCGTTGTATAGGAGAAATAAAGTCTAACCTTTTAAGACAAAATACAGTATCGCATCAAGTGTAGGCAGAAACACTGTAAGTGGCATTGGTGCCCTTCTTAGGATCCTAATGTCGTGATTCCCCTGGAATACGATCAGTATCCTGAGGGAAGAGAGGCAAACCTCTCTGCCCATCACCTCCAGCCCATCACCAAGCACTGCAGCTCATGCACTTCAGGTTTTGTGCTCCCAGACAATGCGTGTCCTCATGAGAACGCTATTTTCTGTGCTGGGAAATCATTCTCTGACCTGTTCATGTCTTGCAGATGAAGGTTTTCAGCAGGTTTGGATCTGTTAAAAAAGTAACTGCAAAGGCACCTAATCCCCTTGGATTTGCCTGTTTTTGAGAGGTACTCCTGGCAGTTATGAAGGTCATTAAGTATCAGAATAAACTGAACTTTCAACTAGAACTTCAGAAAATGTTGAGCCATGATTTAAAAAAATGTTTCTCGGTCTGGCACAGTGCCTCATACCTGTAATTCCAGCACTTTGGGAGGCTGAGGCAGATGGATCACCTGAGGTTGGGAGTTCAAGACTAGCCTAACCAACATGGAGAAACTGTGTCTCTACTGAAAATGCAAAATAAGCTGGGTGTGATGGTGCACCCCTATAATCCCAGACACTTGGGGAATGCTGAGGCAGGAGAATCACTTGAACCCAGGAAGTGGAGGTTGTGGTAAGCCAAGATTGTGCGGTTATACTCCAGCCTGAGCACAAGAGCAAAACTCTGTCTCAAAAAAATATATATATATATATAATATATATATTATATATATATATATTTTTCCCTCACTAAACCTTTTCTTTTTTTTTTTTTTTGAGGCGGGGTTTCGCTCGTTTCCCAGGCTGGAGTGCAATGGCACAATCTCGGCTCACCGCAACCTCCGCCTCCTGGGTTCAGGCAATTCTCCTGCCTCAGCCTCCTGAGTAGCTGGGATTACAGGCACGCGCCACCATGCCCAGCTAATTTTTTGTATCTTTAGTAGAGACGGGGTTTCACCATGTTGACCTGGATGGTCTCGATCTCTTGACCTCGTGATCCACCCGCCTCGGCCTCCCAAAGTGCTGGGATTATAGGCTTGAGCCACCGCGCCCGGCCCCTAAACCTTTTCTTTTTTAAAGCAAAAGGTATTTAGCACTGTTAATCAATAAAATATTTTAAAACATTTCATCAACTCATCTGTTACATTTTAAATGTGTATAACATAGAATAATTAGTGTATGTTTATATAACTTACAAATCTTTAAAAACTGAAATGTCCAAACATTTGGAGTCTTTTGACTCCAAGGCCCTGTTCCAGTTGCTATGGTGACATAACAAACCCCTCCAGAGTGAGTGGTGTAAACAACCACCATCTTAATATGCTCATGGGCTCCATGGTCAGAAATTTGGCAAGTGCACAGAAAAGATGGCCTGTCTCTGCTCCCTAATGCTTGGACCTCAGCTGGGAAAACTGAAAAGCAGGGAAGGTTGGAATCATCTGACTCCTGTCTGGACTGAGTCTGGCAGCCAATTCGGATGTTGGCTGGGACCTCAGCAAGGGCTGCTGGCAGGAACACCTACACACAGCCTTTTCCTTTGGCTGCTGGGCTGTTCACAGAATGGTGAGTGAATTCCAAGTGTAACCCCAGGTACAGGAAGAGATGAAATGGGAACTGTCAGTTTCCTGAAAATCTGGGCCCACAAACTAGCATGGCATCCTTTCTACTATCTTCTATTCGTCAAGCATCATAAAGCCCATATTCAACAGGAGACAAGCTAGACCTCACCTCTCAAAAAGTGTCAAAGGCTTTGGGGAGTATGGTTTCAAACTCCCACAGATTCTAAGGCTGTGACTCAACCCAGCACACTAGGCTGCCTGGTTGTACACAGGTATCCATATTGATGCAAAGTCCCCGAGCTGCTCTTATGCTCTTGTGAAGCACCCTTAGCTTGGTTGGTATTTATGTAACTCAGGAATCTTTCTCCTCCTGGATTCTTAAGTGACCTCCACATCTTCTCCTCAGTTCTCCCACTGTTTTCCCACAAAACAGGCTCCTCTCCCTGGAGCTATTCTTTTTTTTTTTTTGAGACAGAGTTTCATTCTTGTTGCCCAGGCTGGAGTGCGGTGGCACAATCGCAGCCCACTGCAACCTCTGACTCCCAGGTTCAAGCAATTCTCCTGCCTCAGCCTCACGAGTAGCTAGGATTACAGGCGCCCACCACCATGCCTAATTTTATATTTTTAGTAGAGACAGGGTTTCTTGATGTTGGTCAGGCTGGTCTCAAACTCTTGACCTCAGGTAACCCACCCTCCTTGGCCTCCCAAAGTGCTGGGATTACAGGATTGAGCCACCATGCCTGAAGCTCCCTAAAGCTCCTCTACCTGAATAAGCTAAAGATCTCTCGAGACGTTCTTCACCCAGAGTCGCCACGGTTTCCTGCTTCAACAGTGCTTGGACGGAACCCGGCGCTTGTCCCCCACCCCGGCCGGCTGCCCACAGCCAGCCCTCTGTCACCTCCACACCGCGCCCTCGGACTGCTCCAAGGCCCCCGCCACCTCTCTAGCGCCACACAGCCACCGCCACCACTGCCTCTCCTGAGCAGCCATGACAACTGTATCACCTTCGCAGGTGCGCCAGAACTACCACCAGGATTCAGAGGCCGCCATCAACTGCCAGATCAACCTGGAGCTCTACGCCTCCTATGTTTACATGTCCATGTCTTACTACTTTGGTTGCGATGATGTGGCTTTGAAGAACTTTGCCAAGTACTTTCTTCACTAATCTCATGAGGAGAGGGAACATGCCGAGAAACTGATGAAGCTGCAGAACCAACTCGGTGGCCGCATCTTCCTTCAGGATATCAAGAAACCAGACCATGATAACTGGGAAAGGGGGCTGAATGCGATAGGTGTGCATTACATTTGGAAGAAATGTGAATATTGGAACAGCACAAACCGGCCCCTGACAAAAATGACCCCCATTTGTGTGACTTCATTGAGACGCATTACCTGAATGAGCAGGTGAAATCCATCAAAGAATTGGGTGACCATGTGACCAACTTGTGCAAGATGGGAGCACCCAATCTGGCTTGGCAGAATATCTCTTTGACAAGCACATCCCTGGGAGACAGTGATAATGAAAGCTAAGCCTTGGGCTAATTTCCCCATAGCCACAGGGTGACTTCCCTGGTCACCTAGGCAGTGCATGCATATTGGGGCTTCCTTTACCTTTCTATAAGTTTTACCAAAACATCCACTTAAGTTCTTTGTACGATTCCTTCAAATAAAGAAATTTGGTACCAAAAAAAAAAAAAAATCTCTCAATGAATTATTCTTACCCCACATCGCAGCTCTGACTCCCCAAGGGCTACCTTTCCAAAGGAGACTCACAACCCAATTTCTTCTAGCTTTTATCTGGAAGGGGCAGGTGGGGGGCGGGGAGGGGAATAAGAAGGGCTAGGAGGTCTTGGCTGAGTGACCTGATCCCAGGAAGTAATGGCTCTTTCTGCACAGATCACTAGCTGGATGTCTGTGTCTGGCCTGGGAGATCACAGTGAGAACTTGTCCCAGGTGCCCATCATGGGAAGAAATGGAAATTATATCTAAAGAGAGAGGCTGACGTTTTCCTTAAACCACAGAAGAAAACAGTGAAAGTACAAAATGACAGCAGCTGTCTTCAAATACTTCTTGTCAGAGGGACATGAGAGAACAGAGGTGCTATGCTGCTCCACAAGGCAAAACAGGAGCAAACAAGTCTGTGTGAGTTTCAAGAGGCTGGCCCTGAGGATGCACCGTGGCAGTCTAGGTGAGGGACGATGGTGGCAATGGGTGGAGGACACAGGCCAGAGACCGTTTTCTTCACCAAGTCTTGATAGAACGTGGTGAAGAAGTGCTGAAGAAGGCAAGAGTGAAGGTGACATCTGGCATTTAGATTTTAGGTTTGGACATTTAGAGTAACTCCTTAGCTTCCTTTTAACTCTCAGATACTGTGATTTGATCAAATTCCAAATTATGACAGGTATCTTTGGGATGAGAAGATAAAATTTCCTTTAGAAAGACCCCTGGGTGAAGGCTGCCAGGATGCATGGCCTGGCCTGTGTGGGTGAGACAGGCAGTTTCACAAGGTTCTGCACCACCCTGCCACCTGTCAGCACAACTTTCACTGCTGCAGAGGCTGTGGCCATTAGATAAGCTACTCATGGGCAGCCAGTCTCTCCCTATCTCCACTGTCTCACCCTGCCTCTCAGTTACTAAGCAACACTTCCTTGAGAGCCTATAGACAAGCACCTGCAGGGTGTGGGGACACCTCTAGATTGGCCATGGGACAAGGCAGACCAACAACCGGACTTCTATCAGTTTAACAATCTCAAGCCACACCTTGGGAACATGCGGATTCAAACATGTTTATTGAGCAAATCATTAGGACACAAAATAGGCTGAAAAAGATGTTCCAAAAATCTAGGAAACTATGGGCTCTTTCCATCAATCACAGAGAGGTGCTGTCCCTCTCCACTCCAAAGAGAACAGGAAAAAGGCAGGGGGACTGGGCCACAGTGCATTAGGGAGGACACGGTCCCTAGCTTCTCTACCCCAGCATCACCAGAGGGAAAGGTTAAGTTAGAAAAACAGTGTCCAACTCCTTCCCCTCAGACCCAAGGCTGAAGCCTGGGGAAATGCTTCACTTTGCTCCTTTTCTCTTTGCCTTTTCCAAGTGGTCACATCCTTGAGGTGGGGGGTGGGGCTGGGGAGGGGCCAAGAGTCATGTCAGAAATCCTGTAATGAGAAAGATGAAAGGAATACACAGGACACAGCAACAGGCCTAAGGTTAGACCGTCCTCCCCTGGGTTACTCTCAAAGCCCGAGTCAGCTGAAAGGGCCGCCCCCATGATGTTGCCAGTCTGTCAATTTGATGGGTACATGGGTTGCCTGCCAGCATTTCCTAAGGACATAACTCCTCCTGCTCTGGTGACACTCACCTCAATATCCAGCTCTGTAGAATCTAAGAGGTCCAGCCTGCGCTCACTGGGGGAAGAGTAGGTACTTGCTTGCTAGAGAGAATGAAATTAAAAGTCAAGAAGGCCTTTCCATACTCCTATCATTTTGTAAACAAAAACCCAGTTCCTTTCCCAGCCTCAGAAGAATAAACATGGGGAGAGCAGGCCCCTATAGCACCTCCTGGGAGGCAAGTTAGTGTGGGTACAAGGATCAGGCCTGACTGCAGAGCGCTTCTTGGCCTGCTGACTGAGTCCCTTAAATGCCTTTGGTTTGGGAACCAGAAAATGGTTTTTTTCCTGAGATGTTAGGAAATAATATTTTAATAGAAGCCTTGCTCTACAGTCTCTGGTTTGAAGGTATCATTGTTTAGTTTCTCCTCCTGAGCACAAGACTCTCCTGTTCTGTTCTATCCCATTCTTTTTCCCTCCCCGCAGAGACGAGAACAGAAGAATAACAGCAAGATACACAGCCTGCAATGGATTGCATGTCTGTGTCCCGGCAAACCCATACATTGAAATCCTTCCCCTAGTGAGATGCTATTAGGACATGAAGCCTTTGGGAGGTGACTGGGTCATGAGGATGCAGCCCTCATGGATGGACGAATGGTCTTCTAAGCCCAGGCCAGACAGCAGCCTGGGTCAGACAGCACCTTTCCTCCAGGTGAGGATACAACTGAAAGCTAGCAGTCAGCAGGCTGGAAAACAGCCCTCACCAGAACCCAACCCTTGGACTTCAGGCTTCAGAACTGTGAGAAATGAATTTCTGCTCTTTGTAAGATACCAGTCTATGGAATTCTATTAAAATAGCCTGAACTCAGACATAGCCCTTTTCCATTTATAAGGTGGTTTTACCTTATATATTAAGCAAAAGGTCGATTTTATTTATTTTTGAATTGTTAAATTTTTTGAGACAGGGGTTTACTATGTTACTCAGGCTGGTCTCCAATTCCTGGACGATTGATCCTCTCATCTCTACCTCCTGAGTTGCTGGAACTACAGGCTAACAGCTGAGTTTTAAAGATGAGAAAATCGGCAACACAGCCTGCAATGGACTTAGGGAGGCTGAGACAGGTGGATCACTTCAGGTCAAGAGTTCGAGACCAGCCTGGCCAACATGGTGAAACACCAGATCTACTCAAAATACAAAAAATTAGCATGCATGGAGGCATGTATCTGTAATCCCAGCTACTTGGGAGACTGAGGCAGAATCACTTGAGCCCAGGAGGCAGAGGTTGCAGTAAGCCAAGAGTGTGCCACTGCACTCCAGCCCTGGGCAACAGAGAATCTACCACAAAAAATAAAAGCAATTCAAAAATAAAGATGAGAAAATGGAGGGTGAGGAGGGGTAAAGAGCTAATTTGACATGGAGTTGAGGACTCATACTTAGGTCACCATACTCCAATGCCAGGCTTTTCCCACTACACCAGTAGCATCTCCTCCTGGGGAAACAGACAGGCTAGGTTAGAAGGGGAGTGAGGGGAGGGACAAGGAGGGGTAGCCCTCTAGTAGGGAGAGGAGGACAGGGGGTCATGTGTGGGGAGGAGAGACACTGAAGGGGCTGCCACCTAGACTGGATAACCTCCTACCTTCAGCACTAGGACTCTTCCAATTCCTAGGAGGTTCAGAGGCAACAATATATACTTAGGGATTGGGAGTTAGAGTGCTATTCCAACCTTCTTTGTTATTTATGATTTTTCTTATTCTTTAATAAAAGTAGAGTCCAAGCAAAGTCCAAACCATTGTATAACCTTTCCTCATGTACTCTAGATTCATTCAGTTTTCAGAGACCAGGCATCATGAGTGGAGAGAGGGAAAGCACCCTGGCTTCTCTTTGGCACATCAGCCCCTACTTCTTGAGAGAGAAGGGCAGGGTGGTCCACTCACCATGTCTGTATCCTGCCATTCTTCACTTGACTCATCCTGAATTTCTAACTCTTTTTCCTCGTCTTCTTCCATAAGGTTGAGTCTGATGTAGGGGCAAAGAGTCAGGCTTTTCAAACTGTTCTTTGAGGACCCTTGAGAGTTTCTGAGACACCCGGGGTGGAGTAAGTGGGAAGCAGTAAGTACAGCATAGTAGGTTTCCACATTATGCTGACAGGAAGTGTTCTATGGCTAAAATAAGCCCCAAAAGCACCCAGAGAGGCACTGGGTGATATAGGAATCCCCTCACAGTGGCCGACAGATCTGAAGTGAAGACAGGAGATGATGAGGAAAGCTCACCGCATCAGCTGGTTGCCCAGACCAGGACCTGAAGGGTTGTGTGGAGTCTGGATAGACTGTGGACCCAAGAACCTTGACCTCTGGGTGCCTGCGAGGGGCTGACTGCTGGGAATGAAGCAGGATCAGTGATGGGATAAAAATCAAGGATAAGAAGAGGACGTAAGGCAGCTGGTATTAATGGGGAGAAAAGCTCAGTGTTGGGAGAGATGCATTTTAAAGCTAAAAAATAGAGAAGGATTAAAGAACCCAAAAATTAGGGAGTGCTACAGCAGGGAACCAAGGAACAGAAACAGCAAGATGGACGTAGCCAGACACCAACCTGGGAACCAGGACACCCAGATTCCCTCCATGGCCTCACCCCTGGGCAAAGTCCAACTCTGAGTCATCTTCTTCCATCTCTTCCAACCCCCACAGGGGCTGCCTGCTCTTC